AGAGGCAGCCATAGCTGCCATAGCTGTAGTTAGTAGTGAGTGTGTGTGTGTGCTCGAGTGTTAGAGTGATGCGTGTGGGATATCCAGGGTGATCCGGTGTATGTGAATAGTGAGATGTTTGGGCGCTGAGGTCGCCATAGCCAATTGGGAGTGAAATTGATAACTGAAAACCGTATCTCTGAGTTTGAGTGGGCGCATGTCGCCAGTATGCTGCGTTACTGTTTACATGTGTGAAAAGTGTGTTTGAAAACGAGTCTGATTGCACTAGGGACTAAGGAATGTTTTTCACACTTGGTTGAGACTGTCCTAGTCGACCGGCGTACGCTTCGTACTTGGGAGATCAGCGCCTCAGGGAATGAACAACGTTCGGCTTCACTCTGCGTTTAGCCAAACATTTCCTATATTGCAGCAAGACGAGCAAACGCCGTCGGTTGATCTACCTCTGCGATCGCATTTAAAAGCCTTCGCATGTGGGTCAGTAGCTCAGTAGGGATACACCCCTAAGGGTGGTGACAGCCCCTTAGGGATGCAAGCTTATGCCCAGCGAAAACCTATCCTGTCGTTGGGGACCACGGGATGTACAGTTGGCGCACCCGGCTAGAGCGGCGAAGGAGCGATGCAACCGCGGCCGTCTCGGCGGCTTGTGGGATTAGTTAGGCGTCGTTCCCGAGTTGTCTCTTGAAGTGTGTTTTGGGTAAACTCCTGCGTGACATGGCCGGGAGGGCCCTCGTTTTTCACGCGAGGGCCGATACGCTCGACAACGCCACAGGCGCGACTTCTACTGTGGTGACGTCAAGGTTGTTAAGTGCAATTTTGGCCCGATGCATCCCTCCTGGGGAGTTGCAATTCACTTTCTTTCCTTGGGGCCCTATAATTTTTCCTCGTAGTGTCCTAGAACATCTTTTGTGCACGATATCATGGTTTAGCCTTGGACATGTCCGCTCAAAGTGTCCAATTATCGTACAATATTTGCATTGTCCACTGGTCGGGTCTCTTCTGTTGAATCCTCGGTTAGCTATTCCCGTCGGAGCCACAACTTCTTGCAGTGGGGGGGGGGGCTCACGCGAGGGCCGATGCGCTCGACACCGCCACAGGCGCGACTTCTACTGTGGCGACGTCAAGGTTGTTAAGTGCAATTATGGCCCGATGCATCCCTCCCAGGGAGTTGCAATTCACTTTCTCTCCTTGGGGCCCTATAATTTTTCCTCGTAGTGTCCTAGAACATCTTTTGTGCACGATATCATGATTTAGCCTTGGACATGTCCGCACAAAGTGTCCAATTATCATACAATATTTGCATTGCCCATTGGTCGTGTCTCTTCTGTTGAATCCTCGGTTAGCTATTCCCGCCAGAGCCACAACTTCTTGCAGTGGGGAGGGGGGGGTCGAACCGCCTGGGTTTTCGTCACTTGGGCTTGCATCACCATTAGCGAGTTTTCCACTCTTTCGATCTTTTATCGTCTACTCGATGGACGCGCTCATGTAGATTCTCTATTCCCCTTTTTACCATATCTCTGGTTTTCCCTGTTAAGTCTATGACCTCTCCCTCCTTCAGCAGAGCCAACGAGTCGGTTACAACCATCTTCTCAGCAATGTCTGTTACGGTAGTGAAGTCGACGTCCCGTGTATTCATAAACTTCGTGGTTTGTTGGTAAGCTAGTAGAATCTTATCTTTATCAAACTCGGTGAATTGCCTAAGGAAGTACTTACTCATTATACGGTCGGTTACCCTCGGGATTTGCAATGCCACGAGGGTGAATTCCCTCAGGAAATCATTATACGTTGCAACGTTCTTTCTTTGCACCGCCGCCAACTCCGTCTCCGTAGCCATCTTCTCGGCTGCCAGGTATTTTCTCATCATTACGTCATGGGCGTCCTTCCAGGATCCGTTGGTGGCGACGATGACCATTAAGTCCCTTTCTAGGTTCAAATGACACATACTGCCCTAGGTGCTCCATCTTCTCTTCCTCGCTCTATCTTAGTAGTGTCGCCAAGTTCTCGTAGTCTATCACAAATTTCGTGATATTTGCCTCATCGAACGTCAACTTCTTCTTGGCATCGGTCACGTATCCCTGATTTTTATTTAGCGCACGCTTGAGGGAAGACACAATCTTTCTAAGTCCCCCCTCTACTCCTCCTGTTCCACCGGTGGCGTCGGAGCCTTGTTCTTCCTTACCGACTTCTACCCCTTCTCTAGCCTTTGCCGTTGTTGGGACCGGTGGGTCCCGAGATAAGTCCTGACCCCTGAGAGATGGTATATGGCAGAATTGTGCACAGTAGAGAAAACCAGAGGCATGAGAGATAAAAAGGGTGGAAGGCCAAAGGCACAAGTGTCGGCGCCAAGGGACCTAGAGAATGCCCTGGGCCGTCGGAACCACTGGACCAAGAAGAGACTTAGCAGGATAGCAAGCGGCGAAGGGCCGCGGGAAAATAGTAAAGGCGACCCTTTTTCCCGAAAGGAGAAGGACCACCGAAGAAAAGAAAGCCCTGGGCTGCGTGCCGCAGAAAGAAAAGAGTCGAGGAGGCCGAGAAAATAATAAGTGAGGCACCGACACGTGAGAACGTAGCCCGGGCCGAGGAGGGCCACCGGGATGCGGCATAGGAAGAGTCGAAGGGCCACGAGCCAAGTAAAGGGCTGCGACCGGAGAGGGCGGTGCCCGCGGGACATCGAAAGAGACTAGGAAGGGGGCGGTGATGGAGAAGAAAGTGCCAAAAGAAATCGGGAAATGCGCCGGCAGGAAAAGTGTCGGGGACTAGCGCGGGGCAAGTGGCGGGGACTTGTGATATCCCAAGGCGAAGTTATGAAGGGCCATGAGAGAAGGATGCCCCAAAGCAAGGCGTGCCGTCAAGATCGAGATCTAGACGGCCAAGAATATTAGCACCACTAGTGCAATACTAGTGGAGGCAAACGGGAGGGCCAAAACAAAAAGGAAAGCAAAGAAAAAGCAAGAAAGGAGGCATGGCAGCAATCTGAAATATTTTGGATTAGCTACCTTGAAGAAAATGGAGCCTAGAGAGGCTCCATGTGAAAAATAGGCTCCCGGGAGAAAATCGGAGCAAAGGGGGCCGCAATGTGGAAAATGGAGAGGGATGGTGCAGAATTCTGCCATATACCATCTCTCAGGGGTCGGGACTTGTCTCGGGACCCACCCGTCCCGACACCGCGCTCCATCTTGAGGAGATGGATGGTGTCGACTTCTTCGTGGGTGAAAGATGGGGGGTCGGTAGAAGTGGAATCGGTGTTGGGGTCGGGTGTGGGGAACTCATCCGACTTCGTGGTGGTGCGGGTGTCGTCGGAACCAATGTTGTGGAAGAAACGTGTTCGGGAAGGGACGGAGGGGATGGCGGCCTTGCGAGTTGAAAGGAGACTGTCGATTTGGAGAATGCGGGAGGGAAGATCGGATAAGGTTGTGGTGGCCTCATGGACGAGGACGACGGTGAGTTTGCGGTTGGAGATCCGCTTGAGGCGGGAGATGAAAGTGTCGTCGACGATCAGGTGGACAGGAGTATGATGTCGTAGTGAGCGAACATATTGAACGTAGCGGTCAGTGGGGCCATTTTGGCAAAGGCGATAGAATTGGTCGATGTAATCATCAACGGTCTTTTGTGGGCGGAAGGTGGCTGTCAGCAGCGTAGCCCACTCGAGGGAGTGCGAAGGCTGGCCGCTGAGTTGGTGGTTGGCGACGTCGGTGAGCCACCAGCGGGCGGTGTTGGCGAGGAGTCTTGTACCGGCTATGGGTAAGCCAATGGATGACAGGGATGGTGTGGAGATAGAAAGCTTGTTGGAGTTGGCTGAGAAAGAGCGACACATCCTCATTGGGGTTACCGGAAAAGGTTGGAATGTCGTGGGCCCGGAATGTGCGGGGGATTTCGCCATAACTAGGGACGTGGGTAGAGAGTGCGTTGAAGTCGAGGGTGGGTGAGGCGTCAACGAGGCGGGTGAAGTCATGGTCGGGGTTTGTTGGGAGGAGGGTGCTCAGGGGATGTTGGGGGAGGGCGGGGTGTGACATGGCGGTGACCTGGGAGTAGGTGGGCGTCTGGAGGGAGGTGACGATGGATGAGGTAGAGATGGGTTGTGAGAGGAGAGGTGTAGGTACGGATTGGGTGCCGAGGGGATGGTGCGGCAATTGGGCAATGAGAGGGGTGGAGGAGTGAGGAGGTGGGTGGGACACATCGGTGGTGGCCGTTAGGATGGGGGTGGTAAAGGCTGGGGTGGCGGATCGACCAGCGGTGGAAGTGGAGATAGAAGCGGTGGAGGTGGGAGTGGCGGATGGACCGGCGGTGGAAGTGGAGGTAGAAGAGGTGGAGGTGGGAGTGGGAGTGAGGAGAGGAGGACGTGGGGGTAGACTAGAACCGGACGTGGAAGTGGGAATCATGGTAGTGACCACTTGGATGGAAGGGGCACAATGTTTGTCCCATGTTATCTATCTGGCTGGAGAGGCCGGAGATGGAGGTGGCGAAGGAGGATTGGAGGGCACAAATGGTGTTTTGCATGGATTGCATCATGGTGAGTAGGGAGATGTTGGTGGGGGTGGCTTCAGGTGCGGGTTGTTCAGTCGTGAAGGCTGTCTACGGATGCAGTGTCAATGGCGGTCATGTTGATGGTGGAGGAACCGTCCTCCATGTGGAAGGAGAGGCCGGGGGCAAGGAAGTAGATGTAGCAGTGGAGGCAGCGGCTGCAGCGGCGTTCTCGGCAGCCCAGGCGGCGGCACGCAGAGAAGTCTTGGTGCGGCGGGGCATGAAAGAGAAGAAGATGTGTGAATTTTGTCGGTTTTTTTGGTATTAAATTGAATTTTTAATGCATTTTTAAATTTAAAAATTATGGGGGACTTAATTGAATCAGATTTTGAAATTTCCAAAATAAATTAATTAAAAAAAATAAAATCTTTATTTAATTTGAATGAAATTGTGGTTATTTTTAGAGATTTTAAACTATTGCAATCAGACTCGCTTTCTTTCACACTTTAGATGTATGCAAACAGTAGCGCAGCAAACTGGCGACAAGCGCCCACACAAAACTCAGAGATATGGTCGCTAAAACACAGTCCAGATACAAGTTCACTTTCGATGGTATGGCGACTCAGCGCCCAAACAACTCTCTGTTCGCATACCCCGGATCACCCTGGATACCCCACATGTGATACTCTGCACTCACACATACACACTCACACTACACACTAACTCTAGCTATGGCGGCTATGGCCGCAACTACCCTATCGCTATGCTACGCTCCTCTCTCGCCCACTTTGGCTCCGGGCTCACTGCAGACCTCCTAGCATAAGCCATTGTGGCAGCGCTTCCGCATGGCTCACGCAGGAATGAATGAATGGCTGGGGTTGCCTATTGATTTATACTTTTGAAACTCGTTGGTTTGCCCTTTGCCATCGGCCCATGGTGCTCACAGTCCCTCGTGGTACTTGCTGGACCGGACTAGGACTGACTGGACCTGACCGCGGACCGAACGGGGACTCACTGCTATCCCACCGGGGTCGTACTGCAATCGCACTGCGGTTGAGTCCACCACTTGACTCACCACTTGCCCACTTGCCCACTTGCCAACCTTCTAGAAGGCTACAGCTAAGACTTCTAGACTTCACTGAGACTTCTATTCGACAGACCTATAGATCGAACCCTGGATTCCTATGGACCCTACGACAACCTATCAACTGTTACGAATATATAGGTCGTGGGTTCAACTCTACGGGTCGACACAGGTACTGTACATAGGTAAGGTGGGGACTAGAGATCGAGCCCTGGGGTCTGCGTTTGCTACTGCGAAAAGGTGAAAACCGTTTCACTCCCGCCGTCCTAAATTCAAGGTCCTCCGAGAATATTTTAGTCCAAGGCAGGACCTTTACCTTTCTTATCACGCTCGTAAGCTCTGACTATGTCGGGAGCTGTTTCTAGAAGTGTTGTCCTAGTATACTAGCGGTCGTCTTTCGGTTCCTGATAAGCAAACTGGACCTTACTGTTTCTGTGGACGACCTCTACCTCCTGTTCTAAACACATCTTCATCTACAATGTCGTCAATGTCATATCTGCCATCCGTATCCGGAGGGATCATGGATCTTCTTGAAGGGAATTGTTGACTGGTGACACACGGCAACAGCTTCGAAGCATGGAACACCAGGTAGGTGTGGAGGTGTGCTGGAATCTCTATTGTGTAGGACGGCCCATCCTCTCCGCCCTTGACTTCTAGCACAGACCACGGTCCTCTATATGCAGGCAGTAACTACTGCGAGATGTTCTCCTCAGGTGCAAACTCTTTAGACTTTACCTTGACTAAGTCGCCTACTTGAAACTGCGACGGTGCTTGTTTGCCTGTTCTATCATTCTATGCTGGGCCTTCCTGAGATTTTGAACAACTGTAGCTAGCTCTCTCTCGTGCTGTATCGCAAACTTCTTGGTTCCGGGCGGTAGCCTGTGAATCTGATCTCGGGTAAGTCCCTCAAACGGTCTGCGGGGTCTAAAGGACGTGTGGGAGTGCGACAGGTAGACAAATGCACGCTATTATTGTATGCGCTGGCTACCTTGGGTAACATCTCGTCTCAATTGACTTGATCCGGTCTAATTTACATGCGCAGAACTTGCTGCAGGATCTTGTTCATCTGTTTTGTTTGACCGTTAGTCTCTGGGTGTTGGCCAGATGACATCAGCAACTTTGATGCATAGACTCTCATCAATTCCTGCCAGTTCAAGCTGGTGAAGCGGGTGTCTCTATCACTAACTATAGACAATGGGACTCCGTGATCACTTATCCAATGATAAAAAAACTTCTGAACGACTAACTCTGTGCGTCCTTCTGCAGGCAAAGGAACAAAAACTGCGTATTTACTGAATCTATCAACTACGACATGACTTGGCTCTTGCCGTGCCTACTCTTGACACCGACATCCATAAAGTCAATGGAGATTGAATCTCCAGGTTGGTTTGGGATAGGCAAGGGTCTGAGAAGACCCAGAGGGGCACGCGTAGTGGTCTTGTTCCTCTGGCAAACTTTGCAACTGCGAAAATACTCTATGCAATCAGCTTTCATTCCGAGCTTGGTATACACACGCATTAGATTGGCTTAAGTCTTTTGCCAACCGAAGTGTCCCTCTGTGTCATGACATTCCCCTAAGATCAGGCTACGGATCTCCTCACTGTTGGGAATGCACAAGCGGTCTACTACATTAGTCTTCTCAAACAATAGTCCCTCAGTAGTGCGGTAGTTTAGTTCGGTCTCTGGGGCCTCCTTAACTCTCTTGAGGAGGTCACTATAGATAGGGTCCTGCGCATACGCTTGTCAGACTTTCTCTTGCAGGTCCTTTCCTATGTCCTATAGCTCCAAAGTAGTCTAATCTCCTACTTAGAGCACGTTGTACTTGCCTTTGACTGGTTTGAGCTCAGAGTCATATTGATCTATCTCAGCGGCCCACCTAGTTAGCTTAGGTGTCATTTTGGCCTGGTTCTTTAACCATCTAAGCGTTTCATGGTCTGAGTATACTTTGAAGTGCCTCCCAAGCAGGTAATGCTTCTAGTGTTCTAAGGCTTGCCTGAGAGCGTAGAGTTCCCTCTCGTACGTCGAGGTGGCAACCTTCTCTGAGGGCGTCCTCGCTGACATGAACTCTACGGGTCTGTAGCCATTGCCGTCGTCCTGCTGTAACACGACGCCTATACCATACTGACTTGCGTCCGTGGTGACGACAAATGGCAAAGACCAATCAGCTACTTTGAGGACAAGGTACTCTATCAATGCGCGCTTTAACTTCTTCAGCGCAGACGTACAGTCTTTGTCCCATTGCCAGATTGCCTCTTTCTTTAGCAACCTGCGCAAGGGAGCGGTGATAGTGGAGAAGTTCCTCACGAACTTCCTATAGTAGTTAGCTAGGCCTAAGAACGACCGCAACTCAGTCAACGTGTGGGGCGTTGGCCAGTCTCTAATTGTCGCTATCTTGCTGTCCTCTGGCTTAATGCCATCTCCGTCTAATACGTGGCCCAAGTACAAAACCTGTGTCTTGGCCCACTCGCACTTCTTTGGCTTAATCTTGAAGTTACTGCTCGTCTAACTGCTTGCGCAACTCCTCTAATTCTCTAAGGGACATCCGGTAGGCTGCTCCCTTAGGAGTCTTACTGCCAGGCTCTATCTCTATTCTGTGCAGGATCGGTCGCGGCACTACTCCTATCAGCGACTAGGTTAAATCTTTGAACTCCTCCAGCAGCTTGGCAATGGTTGGATCTGTGGAACTATCTTCTTCCTTAGCCTCAGTGACAGGCCTCACATACACTACGAAGACCTGATCCTCTAACTGCTCCTTTTTCACTAGTCACGCGAACGCGGGMGCACTGAGACAGCAATGTACCAAGGTGTTATCTACACCTGACACGTGGAACAGGCGGGCAGTCTTAACCTCACCTGATGGACTAGGGAGCCTATACTCATGCTCTCTCAAGTGGAGTGTGGTCCCCGCTGCCTCTCCCCAATCCATCCCTAACACTATGTTGAAAGGAAGGTCATCTTGAACGAGGAGAGTCAGGGAATGAAGAACTCTCTCCACCTTCCCATCTTTCTCTAGGCGAAAGTACGCCTGGACTCCCTCTACATAGTCCTCCACTTGCATCGTGCGGTTGTTTGCGAGGACACTGACTATGGGGTCTGCTAACTTTTGGACTTTTAATCCTAGCCTCAACTTCTTCAGCGCCGTACGGCTAATGTAACTATGGGTGGCCCCTGAGTCTGTAAGGGCCCCTACTCTGCTTCTAAACACTTCTACATCTACCAAGATCAACTATCCCTTACTCTCCTTCTTCATTTTGGCCCAGGCTGGCATCCTCTCCTTCAGCTCTTCTGCCACACCTGTGAGGGATGTGCCTAGAGAGACGCTAACAGAAGCAATCTCTGGACAACTAGCTAGGCACGGGCCTGCAACCTTTGCCATAGGCTCATGTGGTTTGGGAGTTTCCTGTGTGCGCGCGCTCGCTTCCCCACATGGCCTTGAAGTAGGGGCAGTTGCGACCCCTATTGGCGGCTGCCTTTTGACTGTTGGGCAGCCCATCGGGCCTGTCTATACTTAGGACAAAATTTAATAACTCGGGCCGGGTCACCACAAAACACGCACTGACCCAGGTCCACGCGTTCCTGCCATATTTGCTAGTCCAAGCCCAAATCTTCCGAGGGCCTGCCCTTCGGCAAGCCTGGGTGCCATCCTCCTTGAGGTGGCCCTCCACCTCGTCATTGTGGGGACCGACAAGAACCTTGACGATTTGGCAGGGGACCTTGACCCCTACTCCTTGGCGGTTCCCTTGTCCGCCAACCCCCTGTGCGCCCAGTCCCCGGCCTCCCATGGCCTGGCCCCTTTGGCCCTGGCCTCCTCCTCTACCTTGCGGCCTCCCTCCAGCCGCGACAGCCGCATAAGGTCTCCCCTGCCCCATGCGGCTGTCCTCCTCCTCTAACTCCCACTCGATCTCACTGTAGGGGACTTCATCAGTACCACCTTCCTCTAAAGTAAGGATCATATGATCCTTGGCCCTCACTTGGCCAGAGATGGTACGACCCTTCCACTTCTTTCCTTTATCCAAGTCCTTGTGCCAGAAAGTGGAAACATGCATGGACTTTGACTCGAATAGGACCACCTCTCTACTCAGTACATCATAGGTGATGTCGGCCTGTTGAGATCTATCAAAGAAATGCCCTCTCAGGGGCTATGGCATGGCACGATAAAATAACTGGACCAACTGGGGCTCAGTGACCCCATGGTCTGGGACGGCTACCAAGTCGTCCATGACGCCCTTGAGTGCCCTTGCACTCCTCCACTGCCGCGAGTGGATAGTCTGTAGCTTGTCAGAGGCTCTAACGCCTCTCGTTGGGTCAGCAAATCGCTCCCTCAGGAGCTTGAAGAAGCGAGGAAGGGGGTTAACCTTGGAATATGCAACCAGGTTGTTTTCACAACCGGCTGCGCGCGCTAGGGACCTGGCAAAACTAATATGCAACCAGGTTGTTTTCACAATCGGCTGCGCGCGCTAGGGACCTGGCAAAACTAGCTGCTTCATCCTTAAGGGCCTGGAAGGCGACGAGGACTTGCTCCTCAGTCAGGATGTGCTGTAAGTATACGGAACTGTTCACACTAGCCTCCCAGTTATCAAAATTTTCTTCCTTTTTCCCTCCATACGCATGTGGGAATTTAAGCTTGACTAGGTCTTTGAGGGGTCTGGCCTCGCTCTCAAAGGCGGCTACTGCTTTGGCACCCTCAATGGCGCCCTCACAGAACTTCCCCACGTTGTCTCTCAACCGTCTGACTTCTCCTCCAACGTGGGTAACCATATCGCGCGCAAAATCTTGAAAACCTGACCGCATGGCCTTCAGGGCCACATCGTGACCCCAGTTGGCTTGGCGCTCCATACAAGCCGCACTCAACACTTCCAAGTATCCCAGCATCTTATCCGTTTTGGCAGACATGTCTGTCTGCGCCTGCACTTCTTGTCTACAATCCCTCAGTTTTGCCACTTCTGCGGTCAACCAGTTAACCTCCTCCCTCCTCCTCTTCTTTTCTCTCTTCATCCTTAGTTTCCATTCCAACTTCTTCTCCTCCTCTACTTCTTGCCTTTCCAGGGGGTCCTCGATTGCTGCTAGCTCACTGGCTAACGCATCCCTCTCGTCCTGGGGCATATAAAACTCTGCCTCCTCATCTTCCCCCAACGATAAATTAGCAATCCAATCACTGATTTTTTTCTCCATTGCGGCGTCCTCATTCGCCGTGCCACTACTCTCTCCTTTAATCTCCCTGCAATTTCTCTCCTCTTCTGCTTCTGCTGCTGCTTCTTCCTCGGCAACCTTTTTCTTTTTCTCCATCTCCTCCTCCAATTCCTTCATCTTCGTCGCCTGCTCCTCTCCGATTGCCTTTAGCTTCGCCTGTTTCAGGAGCTCTTTCCTTTCCTTATTCTCTCTTACTAAGGCGGTCATCTTCTCTTGCTGTTCCTGGGTATAGGGGCTAGTACTCTTCCCAGTACGGGTCTCAACCATGGTGATAGTGCACAACCAGGGTAGTTGTTCCAAACCTCACCACGTAGACTCTAACCCCTAACTGACAAACCTACTGACTCAATTTAAAGACTCACAGAATCCGGACAGGGATCCTACCAACTAGGGTCTCTAGCCAGACCTACACTATCGCTGTCACTACTAGACCTGTTGCTGATCAGGAGGCATTTAAGGAGATCCCCCGTAACTCCTCAGGAATTATTTAACGCAGATATGTGACAAACCACTTCCCGACGCCATGCCATCTTTCGTACCCTTTCTTTTGCTTGTATCATACCAACCCCAGGAAAACCCCGTTTTGAGTTCTTGCTTTCGGGTAAAGCATTTTCCTTTTTTGAGAGTTTTTTCGACTACTGAGTTCTGTTTTTCTTCTTGCAAAGTGGGGAAATACATGGGAATTTACGTGTGCCTTAGCGAGCGCACTGGGAATTGGGCTCGGTAGTTGGGAATTCCGGGATAAGCGGAACTTCGAGGTGTGTGAATGTTATTGGGCGCGTCGGGGAAAACTCTCGGAATTTCGCGTGAATACGAATAGGCGTAGGATTTTCTTTTCCCGCGTCGCTTTTTCGCGCGCGGATATGGTGATTTCAATTTTGAATCAGGATAGAAGCAAACTGTAACTGTTTCGGTGCCTTTTTCTTTCTTTTTTTGTTGACGGCGCCACGCATGCAGAGGCTTTCTCCTCTCTGTCCCCCGCATCGCTCCCTCCCRCGCTCCCTTTCCTTCTCCCTMCTCTTTCTTTCTCCCCGTAACTGTTTCTTCCTCTCTCCCCCTCCCCCGTCTTGCTGTTCGCGCGCCCATTTCCCTTTCTTGATCGTTTGAATCTTGGACCTGTCTTGCGCCACCTCTCGCGCCTTTTCTCTTCTCACCCTCTGAGTCTGGCGTACGACTCCCAGTCGATCCCCCGATAACTCCCGCTCGGCAATCAGGTGCGTGGATCGATAGGACCTTCCTATCGCGCGACGAATCTGATTGGTTGAACCTTGAGTTCCGAGGGATCAACATGGCATTCTCGGAGCGCTCTTCTCAAAGTCTTCTCCTCCTTCTCCTCCTACACCCCCGCCTTCCCGTCGTTCTCTCCCCCTTCTATCTCCTCTGTCGCAACTATAAAACCYGCAAGCGCGCCCGCAAAGCTCTCTTACGTTCTCGACTCTCAAGCYAGCTTCCGGGAAGCAGTGKCTGGGCAGARTGTTTGAAGCGATTCGGAAAGTCCTGTCGGGCYGACGATACACTGGCCGGTTGCGCGCTGGATCGCCACGAYGGACTGTGGGATCTGGGTRAACCGTGTCGAGTTTACGAWAGCGGGGTGACGATCGGAGTGGTGGGAGTTAGYACGAGACAACCGGGATCRTCGGTGCGGGTATGAGGATCRATRTTGAGTTGATTGGCCCGRGGCCATATTGGAATTAACTGCGAATRYKCCTTTGTTGCGGATTGTTATCTTTGGCGTGAGTGTACGACGGKGAYGCCRAACTTTTCTCTTCCTGGATCTCGTCATCTTCTATTTTGGACTTTCTTTCCCTCGACTCTCTCTCTCTCTCTTTCTTCTCTTTCTTCTCGAAAGACGATGCGTCTGACTGATTGTCCCTCTCTTGAATGGGAATGAGTCGGCATCCTGTTTTTGTGTGAAAGAACTTCTTTTGGAACTCTTCCATTAGTTTCCTGGGTAATCCTCCTACGCGAGGACCCCGTCTACTTGTCTTGTGAACGGTGGATGCGTGTGTACGGTGCAATGCGATCCATCTTTTCCTGTGAATGTCTCATTTTCGCACCTTCCACAGTGAATGCATGTATAGAGATGCGTGACTTCTCGGATTGATTAGACGAGTGTCGTCGGGATTTTGTTCGAGAATACAAGAGTGTTTAGATCTATAGTCCCGAACGCACTGCACATGCCATCTGCCTTATGTGGCACGACATCAGCAGCCACGATGCCAGGCGACCTTGAGAAACAAGGCTCCGAAAACCAACGTTGTGTTGAACTGAGTCGCAGGTCGGTCCCTTAGCCCTATGCATGATCAAGCTGATGTGTATCTGCTCCCTCGTGTGTCAAGAAGGGTAGATTGAGGGTCGCATGAATGATTTTTGTTCTTAATGACGCCTCTGGATATATGTGATTGATTGATATGTGGACTGACAAGCACCCTTCGATTGGGCGCCAGCCTCCCGTATCTCGCATTGCAACTCGACCTTTTCCGTACAACGAGGAAAGGACACGTGTATATGAGTGGGACGTACGAGAAGCCGTCGCACAAATTTCCGGGCAGTATTACTTCCCTCCGGCCAACCGTTGTTCTGGGTTCGTAGACGCCGGATTTGTCATTATCGATACACACTTTCCACCCTACTCGATATTGTTGCCGTTTAACGAGCTGATCGTCATTTCGTGGACGGCAGTGGCGCCCCATTGGCCTCGCACTCTGAGCACGGAGTGCCAGCGTTTCGATCGTAGTGAAGGGCTTCCACTACCGAATACGGAGTGAGGACGAGCATAAGGAAAGAGCCACTCGGCTGAGACCATCCACGTTGGATTCGGAACTGACCAGTGAACGACGACGAGATCTGATACGAAAACGAGACACGCGAAGCGTGCCAGAGCCTTTCCGTTCTAAAGGACGGGCTGTAGCCCGATGGGAAGCCCGACAATACTTTCTGGATTGAATTTGGATCTTTCTGTTTTTGCACCATGTTCACACGCGCATTCCGCGACGCGCGGAACTAATCGACTTTGCTTCATCGGACCATCACGGGAGATTTTAGTTCCATCTGTGTCCCCACACCCAATTTCCTAAAAATCCTTGGCACACCTCATCTTGCTGTTTTCTTGGGCCGCTTTCCGCACGTCTCACACTCCGAACGAAAGACAGCACAGGGCGTGAGGTTGGTATCGGAGCCGACACGTGTCGGTTCTGATGATAGTCATTCGAACTGGCGAGAGGTAGGAGAGACCCTTAACTAGCTCCGTCGAGATCGCCCCATAACCAGGTCCCAGTCTAGTGTGGCTGCACCAGCAGTACCAATGGTGGACGGTACTAGGGTGATCGTTAGCATCCCTGCCCCTTTTCCCTTCTTCCCTAACCATACCCATCCTGAGGCTTGGCTGGAAGCTGTCGAACCTCAAAACTACAGCGCAGCCGATCTTCCCCGTGTTCTGATATTACTACTTGGCAACACATCACATGACTGGTTTAGAAAACATAGGTGGGTAGATTGGGATACTTTCAAGCGAGCATTCTTGGCTCGATTCGATACAGTTAGTGAAGATGCCGCTTGGTATGTACTCAAAAATTGACCACAAGGACGAGGGGAATTATTGCCTGATTTCGTTGATCGATTTCAAACCACTTTGGACAAATCCGGGCGAGACAAGAATTCCGCTTGACACTTGTTTATTGATCACCTTCGAAGTCCGACCTTGAAAGGGAAATGTAGGAAAAGGTTCCGCCAAAAACAACCCAGTTATCGGCTATTATCACTAAGGCATTGGAGCTAGATTTGGCTGATACGAAAAAATATATCAGCCAGGGAGACGAGGACATTACAGATACCATACGGGATGTAACGGGCAAAAGGCGATCATGGCTACAAGCAGTCGATCGATTTTATCCCCGCCCCGACCATGATCTTCCCTGCGGGATTGTCTCCGATATCCCGACTGTTCTCCTCCATCTCCCCTAGTGAATCAATCGATCGCAGTCGTTAGAAGCGGAACTTCATCGGAACCCCTCTCGGCGACCGTAACTAATCTACACCTTGCCCAGATGATCCATACGGCTACTACCAAGCAGTGCGAATGGGTGAACAACTTGATCCAAATGCAGGCCGCTCATATGGAGCGGATGGAACAGATAATGAGCAGGCTCATTAAGCCTAACCCACTTCCTGCTCGGCCTGCCCCTGCATCGTTTCCACTCTTACCTGCCCCACCTGCTCCAGGGTTCGCGCCTCAGTTCCCTCATCTAGCTAGTCCAGCAGGGAAGATCGAATGCTTTAACTGCAAGTAGCTTGGGCATTTCGCCCGAGACTGTCCGCAGCCGAAACGTAATCAGCCTCCCCCTGCTGCGGCCCCAGTCGCCCTTAATCAACGACGAGTGGCCGCTCTGATGGACACGGACCAGGGAGGAGAGCTTGTAGCGTATGCTCCAGAACAGCCTTCCTCTTCGGTGATAATAGCGTCAACCTCAGGAGCCTCTTCCTCTGACGCGGCTGACGTGGTCGATCCCCTCGAGTATCTCCATCTTGTCGGAATGATCGAAGCGATCCGATCGGCCCAAGATGATCTCGAATGGGTCGATCGCGAGTCCAATCCTGGACCTCAGTTTCGGACAGGGGATATTGATGTACACAAAACGCTCAAGCAATTAGATATTCGCGTCCCTATCCCAGTAGGGCATCTGCTCACCATATGTGAAGCGGCGAACGATAAACTTTTACAGCACTACCAGAAAAATCAAAAGCGTTTCACCTATCAACGCATACAACGGATGTTGAAGAAGAAAGAAGAAAGCGAGGAAGTCGTACCCCCTTAGCCTGACACGAAAAAGCCGGAACCTGAAGCCGCACGTATAGCAGTGATCTCTTTAGCAGAAAAAGATCACTTCGTACGAGCTCGACCGGTACTATGGAAAAGTGGGGAATGTGACTGTGAAGTGTGGGGCAAACCGTTTAATGCCCTTATTGACACAGGGTCTTTTGCCGTGGCCATATCATTGGATACTGTCAAAAAGACGGGACGACTGGGATCCATTCTTCCTCAATCTGGCAAAGACAATTATGTCTCTGTCGATGAGGAAGCAATGAACATCGTAGGCATTATCGAGAATGTGGCCGTAAAAGTTGGACGAGTACACGTCCTTGTTAACGCGCTCGTAATAGATGTACGTTCCTATTCTTTGTTGTTGGGATTACCATGGGCGATGGCGGTGGGCGCACGTCTGCATTTCGATTCGAAGCAACTGGTGCTCAAACAAACTTGAGGAAAACCTCAAACTGTTCCTTTGCGAGTTTCCACCCGAACGATGAAACGGGTCCCCAACCCGGCCCAAATAGGGATGATCCGATACATTGATCCCGATGAATGCTCTCCCATGCGCCTCGGGGATGAAATCAGGGAACAAGAATACGAAGAAGAGATGCCCAGTGAAGAGGAATGGAAATATCTGGTTGAACTTTTCAAACACAAAACCCCTGAAGAATTTCGAGTGTGCCCCGACACCGCTCGAAGTTTCCACGTGGATTCTAAAGACAGTGCATTCACACCTCTAACAACCCAGGTCAGTCCTTCAGTCCTCCTTGGGGAACCCGTATTGCAAGTTTCCGACCTGGCTGATGATTTGGAACGCCCTCGCAGATTGTACCAGGGAGCTCTTTTCTTATGAACGCGTTATCAACAAACGAAACAGTATTTGGGTGTCTCTGTTTTTTCGCCCAGACCATTACTAACGACAGGAGCCACCATCGCCTTGATTAAACAAGAGGCGGAAGCACCGGTAAGTGACGTACCTAATTTGATGCAAGAAATGACGGATCTAACAGGGCTGACTGTGGAACCGACTTCGGTTGGTTCAGAGACCGACGCTGAAACTAAAGAAACGGAGATGATCAACCCCGCTGAGGCCCAGATGATAGCAACTGTCTTCTCTGTGCGCAAAAGTAGTTCCGTTTTCTCTAGTGTCAATGAGCGGCGGGAGCGGTCGGTTGATTGGATCGATATCCCCCTTAAGATGTCCAGGGAATCAACGATCACCCTCCCGAGTCACGTTCCCACGGACATGTTGACGCAATGTGATTTCTGCCCAGTGCTTGAATGTCAAAGTGAAGAGATTCAACCAAGCGCGGGTAAACGGCGGGAGTAACTATGACTCTCTTAAGGTAGCCAAATGCCTCGTCATCTAATTAGTGACGCGCATGAATGGAT